ACACACACACACACACACACACACACACACACACACACACTACTACCCCCTGCAAGCTTTAACATTCAGCCCCAGTTTGGTGACAGGAAGTGTTTAGAGGGGTGGGGTTTGATGAGGAACAGATAGCTAAATAACTTGACTAATGGGACAATTGTAGTCCTACACACATACACACACACACATGCAAACACACTGTGCTTAACCTCTCTTCCTGTCCTTATGCCTCTTTACTGACAGAGTTTGGCTCGAACCCTCTCATCTGTTTTTCTGTTTAGCGTTCCACAGCAACAGCTCTCAGGTTTTTCTTTTTTTTATTTTGTTGCAGAGGCCACTTTGACTCAGGGGCAAAAAAAAAGAGAACAACTGCAGCAAAATGCTTGATTACTCAACGCATCAGAGGGGTGTGTGTAATTTAGGAGAGTTACAGGTTTTCAAAGGGGCAACGCATTCACACATCTGACACCTCGAATACACACATGCACACAAAAACATACACATACGCATTCACACATATGGAATCACTCTGTTTCAACTCTGACTGCACTGTGATGTCGGTGAACTCAGTGAAGCGGTTTCCTGAAAACTACATGTATGGTCTGCATATGTTCACTCGTCCTACTCTTCCTAGGTTCAGTCTTTGCATTTTATTGTCTTGGACTTGGTTGACATGATTGGTTGAACTCCCATGATCACTGAGTTCCATCATTATATCTTTATTTTTAGTCATAACATAAAAACACAGAAATCATGACCTAGCAATGATTGACCCAACTTTGATGAAAACAAAATTCATGCTTGAAATGCATGTTTCTACTCTCACCACATTTAACCGCTGGAAATCTGTAGGCTCACTCTCCATAATGTCATTAACTAATTGTGATTAACACTATTTTAAATTAAACTCACTCAATCGAAACATTTATTGAATCTTTATTTATGACATTTAATAAACAGGTAAACTTCACTGCAGCAGAATTAAAGAGAAAATTAGCATTTTAAATTCATCTAATGCAATAACCTAATAGATTTTAGATTGCAAATATATGGGGGACATCGCAACAGGAGAAGTGTTTGAGGTGTGACCAACAAGATAAAGACTGGATGAACAAAAAAACTGTTTTTGTCTCATTGAAGGATTAAAGGAGAGAGAGAGAGAGCAGAGGGGAAGAAGAAAAATAGAACATTTATTCTCGAACAATGAGACCAGCCATCACTGTTTTCAATGAGAGATTGACAAAATATGAACACGTAAGAGGGAACAGAGAAAAACACTCATAGTGTAATGATTGGAGAAATAAATCCAGGGAAACAGGCTGAAGAAGGGATGAGAGAAAAAAAATAATTCTGAGACATCGATCAGAAACTTAAGGATGTTACTCTAGGGAAGGAGGATAGAAAA